GGAGGATAACACTGAAGATAATTAAATTTTATTTCACTTGTTAAGTAGGTGTTATATACAACCCTAAAAACCTTGCTATTGAAAAAATAAAACTTTATTTGGTATGGCAGGATTCGGTTTTCTATAAGCTTTTCAACGAGCCTCCTCGTGCCTTATGTTTCCATTTGAAAAAAAAGTAGGGGTAGCTGGGGGTTAGGGGGTTGAAATAAAATTAATTATTATATAATCGAAAGATGGGAAAAAATTTCGGCGTTTTAAAAAAAATTAACTCATTCAAAATATATGAATTTTATTCCGTAGTTCCGGCCATCCCTGTATAGTTATTAAGATCCCGTCCAACGTGAATCCGCGGTCAGAATTAATGGTTCTTTTTCTAACCTCAAAAAAAACGGGTCAATTAAGGTCAGATATCACGAATTTTTAAACAATAACAGATTCGCGCCAAATTTGGGATACGGGGGTTTTCTGGGTCGCTGATCACGGACCCGAGGTCAATTTTGCAAAATTCAAGATGGCGGATCCAGGATGGCCGACCAAATTTTTGGTACTCTGTCTCAGCAAATATCGTACGGACTGTATTGTTTTATAAGCTCACTATTTTAATTCGTATCCAATAGATAATCTATTTTAAAGATATTAGGCTAATTCAAACAAATATAAATATTGCCCATCTAAACTGAAAACCTTACAATTCTTTTTTACTTACAGAGACACAACATGTACGCTTTGCGCTACTGGTCTTGCGAGTTCATCTGCTTGGTGAACATAATATTGCAGCTCTACCTGATGAACAAATTCTTCGACGGAGAATTCCTGTCGTACGGTCTGCGCGTCATGAACTTCTCAGAGCAATCCCAGGAAGACCGGATCGACCCGATGGTCTACGTCTTTCCGAGAGTGACGAAGTGCATCTTCCACAAATATGGTGCCTCCGGAACCATCCAAAAACACGACAGCTTGTGCATCCTCCCTTTGAACATCGTCAACGAGAAGACGTATATCTTCATCTGGTTCTGGTTCATGATTTTAGCCACCATGTTGACAGTACTGGTTATATACAGAATAATAATCATAGCCTGTCCTACAGTCAGACCCAGGATTCTACACGCCAAACACAGGAGTGTTCCCATCGAAGTGTGCCGAGCGCTTTGCAGGAAAGTTGACTTAGGGGATTGGTGGATTCTGCTCATGTTGGGAACGAATATGGACCCCTTCATTTACAGGGAAGTCATTTCGGAGCTGACCAAGAAAATAGAAACCAATTATAACCATTGATGTTGCCGACGTCTAGTACAGTGTTAGGATGTTCGATCAGTACAAACTTTTCTGGAATCTGGGAGAGAGCTTTAAGTATTTAAGAATCCACTCATGGAATTGAGGTTTTCCTAATTCATTCCAACGTTGTTGACTTTAATAATACAGGAATTTCCTATTTAGTATTTAAAACAAAGTTAGTAGTTTGGGTTTGTGATATTTATAATGCAAGACATTATACGAAACTAAAGACCACGAATTAAGTAAGATTTACGTTAAGATAGATATTAGAAGGTATTCACGTGAACATCGAGACTCGTTAAAGTATTAGAAGTGAAGTTGGATCTAAGACAGACGCCAAATTATTATAAAAGTTTATATTTTAGAAAATATTTAACTCGTAAGTCTTATACGGAAGACGTAAGTATGGTGAAGCCGAGAGGTAGAGTTTATTTCAATTTTTTTACGAAATCCCTTATAAAACTGTTAATTTAAGGAATTAATTTATACTCTGTGATTCACTTGGTCTTGTGCCAAGTCCATGACAAATTGCCTTGAGGTTCGACTGTACAAAATTTTTATAGCAATTTTACATATCGAGGAATATTTTTACGATTTGCGATACTACTATTTTATAAGGACTTTAGAAATAAGAAATTTTATTATATGCAAGTTAGTTTTATATTGTATATTAAAAACTTAATAAAATTTTTTATTATGTATTGGATAATATTTTATTTGCCTGGATTCATTGGAATCCCTGTTGTAGTAAATAATGTAAGTATTTACATTTAACATTTTACATTTTTATTGATTCATGTTATTACACAGTGTTTACACACGTCAGAAAATAAACATTGATATTTTCAAATTGCAACACAGTTACAATTACAGATACATACATACATAATCCTAAAATTAGTAAAAATATGAATACAGATTAAAATTTACATTGTAACAGAATAAATAAAATCAGATAAAATAATATTAAAAACAAATACAATAGCT